CATGGGCAGGATAATGCGTACATTTCTTACCAAGCATTGCAGCCTCCTCCTTTGGTTTACCCTTCACATCCCTTCCCAGCCTCCCCCCTCCCGCCGGGAGTTGTTTTCTACTCTGACCTTCTGGAAGAATTTTGTGCTAATATGTAGGATTTGGTTCCCCACATTATTACAGTTTTTTTGAAGACAAAAGAAAACATGGAACATGGATTTGAGTTTTTTAATCTTAACAGTTGTGGTTCCAATTCAATGTACATAATCAGGAAAAAGTATATGTGTTCGTACAAAAATTTATAAAGATGTCCACATAGGCATGCTGAATTATTTTTAAGCTTTTAAAAATTAGTTGGTCAGGGGCTGGGAAGGTGACTCAGTGGTAGAGCGCTTGCCTTGCATGCCTGAGGCCCTGAGTTCGATTCCTCAGCACCACATAAGCAAAAAAGAAAAAAGCCGGAAGTGGCGCTGTGGCTCAAGTGGTAGAGCGCTAGCCTTGAGCTGAAGAGCTGAGGGACAGCGCTCAGGCCCAGAGTTCAGGCCCCACAACCGGACCCAAAAAAATAAATAAATAAAAATTAGTTGGTCAATGGAGATGGGAGAGAATGGGATAGAATGAGGGAACAGATGACACACTGTACAAAAGGAATATACCAATTGCCTGATGTATGTAAATGAAATCCCTCTGTATGTCATCTCTACAATAGCACTAAAGTAAATTAATAAAAGATAAAGTTGTTCAGTTAAGTTTCATTTGCAAAAAACATTTTGAGGCTGGGAATGTGACTTAGTGGTAGAGTGATTGCCTAGCATGCATGAAGCCCTGGGTTCAATTCCTCAGTACCACCTAAAAAGAAAAAGCCAGAAGTGACGCTGTGGCTCAAGTGTTAGAGTGCTAGCCTTGAGCAAAAGAAGCTCAGGAGCAGTGCGCAGGCCCTGAGTTCCAGCCTCAGGATGGGCAAAAAAAAAAAGGAAAAAGAAAAATCTTTGAGTATGAATTAAAGTTAGGAGAGAATGCATGATATTGAATTATAGAAGTGTTGTAAGCAGTTGACCTCAGCGATGGGATTTATGTATGGTCAATGAAATCTTAAGATAATTCTAATTCTTCAGTGCCAGGTTTTGTGTTTAATGGCTCTTTAAAAATTGTTCATAGCTGTGTATGATCGAATGCGAGCAGATCAGAAGAAGTTTGGAAAAGCATCATGGGCAGCAGCTGCTGAACGTATGGAAAAGCTCCAGTATGCAGTTTCTAAAGAGACTTTACAGATGATGAGAGCTAAAGAGATCTGTTTGGAACAGAGGAAACATGCACTAAAAGAAGAGGTAACAGAACCCACTACAAAAAAATAGATAAAATAAAAATAGTTAGGATTTGACATTTTTATGTTAATACAAGAGTGTTTCTCTTGCCAATTGATACTCATATACTTTTTCCATGAAATAAACACTTATGATCGGGTTTAGACTTGAATTGCCACTACTAGCAGATACTTCCCAGTAGTTCTTCTGTGATGCTAGGCAGCAGCTGTACATTAACTGTACACTGCTTAAAGATAGAGACCCAGTGCCAGACTTTGTTGTCTTTTATGAAAACTTTACTGTCTAGAGGGAGAAAAAAAACATTAGGAAAAATTCTAAAGCAGTAAGTAACATTGTGTCTAATTGGTTAAATCATCTCCATCTCTTCACCTATGCAACCCTCTCTTTTATGCCTGATGGACCAAAAAGAGTTGGTTTTCTTGATATTGCTTCATTCAGAAGACCTTCATGGAGAAGGATGGGGGAGGGAGGAAGAACTCTAAAAGGTGATGTTGAAATATGATGCTAGGTGGAGCTAGAAGGAATCATGTTGAGCGAGGTAAGCCAAGAGCAAAGAGACAAACGGTACATGGTCTCCTTGATAAGTGGATGCTAAATCCAAAATGTTAGGTGATACAACAAAATTAACAGGACTTAAGAAACAAAGAACTCCCACTGGTCGAACCACTACTAAATATCTCCATGCTGCTGATCACATGTATGGTGTATATGTATACACCGTTATATGTTACAAACTGTGATAGACAATATGCTCCAGGAAAGTTAGAATGAACTTGTGACTTTAAATGAACATCATTATTCCACAATACTGTGAAATTTGGGAAATTATGTAATCACTTAATCACAATTAAAAAAAAAACGTCTGGGAAGGTAGGGAGGGAAGGAATGGTAGGGGGAAAACAATGGAGGGAGGGGGTAACAATGCTCAATAGGAAGTGTACTCATTACCTTGCTCATGTGACTGTAACCCTCTGTATAGTATCTTTACAATAAAAAATTAAAAAACAAAACCAAAAAAACCATCAAAAATATTAAAAAACAACAAAAAAGAAATATGATGCTAGGGCTTGGCTGCTGTACCTGAGCTTTTGTGCACAAGGCTAGCACTCTACGAGTTTGAGCCACAGAGATAATTCCAGTTTTCTGGTGGTTAATTGGAGATGAGTGTAATGGACTTTACTGCCCCTGGCTAGCTTTGAAGTGTGATCCTCAGATCTCAGCCTCTTGTGTAGCTAGGATTACATGTGTGAGTTACTGGTGCCCAGCTGTTGCCTTTTTTTTTTTTTAGCTTATATTTGGCTACACTGCTGATTCTTTCCATTGTTTATAGAATGTCTTGTATTTGTACTTTCAAAATTCATGAAATAATTTCTAGTAATTGGTACTGTTATGTTTTTGATTATCTTAATCATAGTTTAATTAACTTTTCACTATTTTTTTTTTTTTTTTTTGCTTATGTGGTGCTGAGGAATTGAACCCAGGGCCTCATGCATGCAAGGCAAGCACTCTACCACTGAGCCACCTTCCCAGCCCCACTTTTCACTATTTTTAACAATCTTTTCTGTACGTATTGTAAAGCCAAATTATATGTTCAAAAAAATCCATTGCTATTCTTCCCCATTAAAGTATAACTTGTGTAGTATTTTGAAATATACATCTATGTTAATACTGTTAATACCACTTTTGCATTTACCTTGCATGCTTCTATATTTGTTCTTGTTTCCTTTTTTGTGGGTGACTTGTAGTATTAGCTTATTTTTTCTTGTTTTTTAATCAAAAGAGCACTCTTTTTTTTTGTTTTGTTTTGTTTTGTTTTGTTTTTGGTTGGTCGTGGGGCTTGAACTCTGGGTCTGGGCGCTGTCCCTCAGCTCTTCAGCTCAAGGCAAGCACTCTACTGCTTGAGCCACAGTGCCACTTCCAGTTTTCTAGTGGTTTATTGGAGATAAGAGTCTCACAGACTTGGGCTGGGAAGGTGGCTCAGTGGTAGAGCGCTTGCCTTGCATGCATGAGGCCCTGGGTTCGATTCCCCAGTACCACATAAGCAAAAAGAAAAAAAAAAGCCAGAAGTGGCACTGTGGCCCAAGTGGTAGAGCACTAGCCTTGAACTGAAGAGCTGAGGGACAGTACCCAGGCCCAGAGTTCAGGCCCCATGACTGGACTCAAAAGAGTCTCACGGACTTAACTGCTCTGGTTGGCTTTGAACCATGATCCTCAGATCTCAGCCTCCTGAGTGGCTAGGATTACAGGCGTGAGCCACCAGGGCCTGTGCTAAAAGAGCACTCTTGTTAGTGATAGAGTGATTGCTTGGTATGTGTAAGGCCTTGTGTTCAAACCACAGCACTGAAAAAAAAAAAGCATAAAGGCTGATACTTACATATTATCAACTTTAAAAACAAAGTTTTTAATATTTTGTTCAGTGACATTTTATTAAATATATTATTAATAATTCTTAATCAGAAAATGCAGTTACCATAAAGGAACATAGAAATTGCTCACCATATATAAGACTAAACAGCATTGATTTTTTTAACACTATTCTAGATATGTTTTTAATAAAAAGATTAGGCACTTTTTCCAAGGATTATTAAGATTTATTTGGGGGGGTAAGGATGCAGAAGTGACATAAGGGTAAACATAGTGTAAACCTCATGGAGTTATAAAGATGAAAGCTCCTCCTGTATTTCTTTTTGTATTTCTTACTGTGCACAATGAAGTACTGAATATAGCATTGATGCCAGTCATATTTCAGAGTATTGAACTTGTTAGATATTACTATTTTTTGTTTGCTTCCTGTGCCATTATTTTAAAATACTATATTTTAGCCAGATGCCACGGGCTGATGTCTATAATCCTAGATGCTTAGGAGGGTGAGATGTGAGGATTGAAATGTGAATGCAACCTGAGCAGGAAAACCAATTAAGAATCTAACTCCAGTTAACCACCAAGCAGCAAAGAAGTAGAGTTGTGGCTCTAGGGGTAAAGCTTTAGCATTGAGCAGAAAAGCTGGGGGCAGCACAACCAGAGTCCTGATGGCATACACACATATATCCTACACACATACCCACCCCCTACACCTATATTTTTTATTATGATTAAACTTGGCTAGAACAGATTGTGTTTTACCAAAAAGGCACTTAAATAACTACATTAGTTATCTGTCCATAGCTTTTATAATCACTAGAAGTATACTTTTTTTTTTCCCCCTGTCATGGGGCATGAACTCTGGGCCTGAGTGCCCAGAGTTGAGCTCTTTAGCTCAAGGGTTGCACTCTAGCCTTTGAGCCACAGCACCACTTTTGGTTTTCTGGTGGTTTATTGGAGATAAGAGTCTCATGGACTTTCCTGCCCAGGCTTTGAACCACAACCCTCTGATCTCAGCCTCCTGAGTAGCTAGGATTACAGGCATGAGCTACCAGCACCCAGCAAGAAGTATATTTTGAAATAAGGAAATTTTATGGCTCAGGATTAAAACTAGCATGAGGAACAAGCCTCAGAAAGTATTCTAGATGGCATATAGTAGGACTTGATTGTTTTAATCTAAACTCTTTAGTATGCTTTGTTCTAATATTTCAAATGCAAGAAAATGCTTGAATTACATAAATTTTTTCCTCTATCCATTTTCAACTTTGAGGTAATTAAGTTTATTGTAGCAAACATGACCTTTTGGCTGTGTTTTTTTTTTTTTTTTTTTTGGTCGTGGGGGCTGAACTCTGGGTCTGGGTGCTGTCCCTCAGCTCTTCAGCTCAAGGCTAGTGCTCTA